ACAGCTCCTCCCTTCAAATGATTTAGCCAAAATGTAGCATCAGCACCCCCTTTTCCAAACATAAGAACTTTAATTATTGCAGTTCAACATATCAGGCCTTCTCTGCATTCTCATAAAATGGTAAGCTTTAAAAAGCCTTTTATGCAGAAGGCCCATTCTAGTTAAATTAGTTTGAAGTTTTCAGTATAGATGTGCCCTGGATGCCTATAAACTATGCACCCTCAATCCCTGCAGCAATACAATGAACACCACTTAGGAGTTTTGCAGAGCTGTGATTCAGTGATTCCAAATGGGAGAATCAAATCATTTTCTTCAAACAATATTGTTTAAACCATCATCACAGGGACTCCAATTTAATACAAACAAGGTTTGTGTCATCTGATGAAGTCATGGAAAAGGTACATTAATTGAATGAGATGGTGCCTGGTTTTTGTGCAAATTCCACTTGCTTTTTTATTTTAATTTTTCACTTGTTTTCATTTTACATTTCCTGAGGGAATGTTGACTGTAGTGATCCTAACAGGATTGTAATGGGTCCCTATGCTCCGTACCTTTGAGAGGCTGCCTCTTCCCCTATGAGCGATCATAATCTCAGCAGTTAACCCAATGCAGCCTTTTGATAGTGCCTCCTGTGTATCAGTTGAGATTGGTGAGGACATGAAGAGATATTCTCCTCTTCTGTTCACTATCATTCCCTGAAGATGTGCTAAAAAAATCAGCAGTCCGTTTGGTTGCCAGGGAGACGTTTTAGCTGTAGGGCTTTCATCCAATTTTTAATATCATTTCTGCATTCATCAGGTCAGAAAAGAAAATTGTAAAGCAGGCACAAATCTCATAGAAGAAGGCAGGTTATGCATTTACATGCACTGGAACACCATGAGAGGCACTCACACCATTTCTGGATGAATTGTGTGCATTCCTACTACACAAACACAGCAAGGTATTCTACTAAAGTGCAAAGGACAGCACCATGGGTTGTTTTAAGGATTGAAATTAGGAAATTAAGAAAACCTAGCTTGAATATGGGACTCTGCTATGCATAGAGAGCAGGATGGCAACTAGGACCACCTGAATACCTCCTAGACAGTAAAAAAACCTCAAACCAAACCAAAAAGCAACCTCTCAAGCCAAACACACCAGCAGCAAATGTGGAAATGGTTGGACATGCACTTTTAGGGCCTCTCGAAACCGACTGTAAAGGCAAATCACTACTCTTGGATGCTTCCAGAAGACACAGTTCACCCTTTTCTTGGCCCAAAGAGACTTTTGGGAGGATCTGAAGAAAGCAAGTGGTGGCCCATAGAAATGGTGAACCCCAATTCTGCATGTGAACTCCAAGGTTATGATTTACCAAACCCCAGCTTTCATCATTTGGAAATCAATGCATCTTGGATACAACTTGCCATAGGGAAGTAACTGCTGCTGTTACATCTGAAAGACACCAGATCCTTTCTGATCCTGGAAGCTAAGAAGATCAGACCTGGATAGTATTCAGATAAAGGTAAAGGTTTCCCCTGACAGAGTCGTGTCTGACTCTGGGGGGCTGGTGCTCATCTCCATTTCTAAGCTGAAGAGCCAGCATTGTCCGTAGACATCTCCAAGGTCACGTGGCTGGCATAACTGCATGGAGCACCATTACCTTCCCACCAAGGTGGTACTGATTGATCTACTCACATTTGCATGTTTCCAAACTGCTAGGTTGGCAGAAGCTGGGCCTAACAGCGGCAGCTCACCCCACTCCCTGGATTCAAACTGCCATCATTTTGGTCAGCAAGTTCATCAGCTCAGCGGTTTAACCCACTGCGCCACCAGGGAGCCTAGTACTCAGATAGGAGATAATTAATGACCCCAGCTGATGTTGACTACATTTCAAAGGAAGGAAATTACAAACCCATTTTCTGAGTATTATTCACGTAAGAAAGCCCTATTAAATCCATGAGGCCATTGTGTGATTTGGAGGGAACACACACATTTTTTCATGGGGTTGCCGTAAGTTGTCATTTGACTTGAATGCATACACACACACACAAACTCTACAACTGGAGGGATTAAAAAGGATACAGAATGGAGGAATATAAAGTGCATCTTGTGCATAAGGCATCAATAAGATAACCTCCTGCTTCTGAATTATAATATAACTGTGAAATGTGATGTACAATTTTGAGTTTGAGGAATAATTTATGTGGTGCTGTTTATCTATATATATAAATTTCCTACTGGCGTCCAACGAGGAAACAAAACTCTAAAACCCCTCCACACAACTCTACCAAAATTGCCATGCCCCAAGGACAACCCACTAGGTACAAACTAATCCACTCAGAAATCAAAACCACACAACAACAACCACAAAAAACGGCAAAACTGAGTCCATAGCGCGATCGCAGTTTTATCTTTGTCAGTAAGGGGGGAGAGGGGATAACGAGATGATATAAGTAACAAGGATTTTTTGGCGCCACAACAACATGGCCCCTCAACCTCCCCCCCCAGCACACGGCACCCCCCCCCCCGCGGCACACACACACACCTGCCCCCCCCCCCCCCGCACACACACACCGCGCACCCCCACCCCCCCCGCCGCACACACACACACACACCGCACCCCCCTCCCCCCCCCCGGCACACACGCGCGCGTGCCCCCTCTCCCCCCTCCGGTGCGGCACACGCACGCGCGCCGCCCCCTCACTCCCCTGGCGCGGCACACACGCGCGCGTGTGCGCCCCCCCTCCCCCCCCCCCCTCACACTACTGGAGATGCGTGCTTTTGCTCTCTCTTTCCCCCTCTCCCCCCTCCTTTGCTTCATCCCTCTCCCCCCCCCTCTCCACTCGGGCCTGGTCTCTGTCTTTCCCCCCTCTCCCCCCTCTCTTCCCCTCCTCCTCCCCTTCCCCTCCCCCTTCCCCTCCCTCCCTCTTACCCTCCCTTTCTCTCCTTTTCCTCCATTCCACCTCCCCCCTCCCCCCCCCTCCCCTCCCACCTTCCCCCCAGCCACGCCCCTTCTAAACCCCTCCCCCCTCCCCTCCTCCCTCCCCCTCCCATTACCTCCAAGCCACGCCCCCTTCTAAACCCACCCCTCCCCCCTCCCTCCTCCCTCCTCCGTTACCTCCAAGCCACGCCCCCTTCTAAACCCATCCCCCCTCCCCTCCTCCCTCCCCTCCCCTCCAAGCCACGCCCCCTTCTAAACCCACCCCCCCTCCCACCTCCCTCCTCACATTACCTCCAAGCCACGCCCCCTTCTAAACCCCTCAATCATTACAGTCATAGAATCATAGAATCAAAGAGTTGGAAGAGACCTCATGGGCCATCCAGTCCAACCCCATTCTGCCAAGAAGCAGTAATATTGCATTCAAATCACCCCTGACAGAGAGAAAGAGGGAGGGAAAGAAAGAAGGAAGAAATGAGGTAGAAAAGGAAGAAAGAGAGAAGAGGGGGAAGGAGAGAAGGAAGAAAAGAGAGACAGCAGAAGAGAAAGAAAAAGGGGGAAGGAAGGAAAGCGATAGAGAAAAAAGGAAGGAGAGAAGGAAAGACAGGAAGGAAGGAAGGAAACAGGGAGTGAAGGAAGGAGGGAAAGAAGGGGAGATAGGGGGAAGGTTGGCCACAGCAACGCGTGGCGGGTACAGCTAGTATGATATAAAGCACCTCATATTCATTACACAGATATAAATCCTTATAACAACCCCTCAAGCCAAGTTGGTATTGCTCCCTCGTTGCAGGTGGGAGGGGTCTGAGAGAGAAAGCTTAATTTGATTAACGTCAGATTCAAAGACTTCCCCCTTGGCATCCCAATCTTTTAAGACATTTTTCTCTAGCCTTTAAATCTTAGGCACACAATTTAGGCCTGAATTCTATTTATAGTACTGAGCAGAGTACAGCCAATGACCAACATTTAGTAATTATAGGAGTTGCAGTTCAAAATTTCTGGAAAGCATCAGACAGAAATTATATGCTTGTTAGACAAAGTATAAACTAAATCCTCCAGGCACAATTACAATGAAATATCATCTAATACAGCAATGGCTCTCCTGAACATCTAAAAACCAGAGCTCTTGGTACACACACAGGTCTTCTGGGACACAATTTTTGTATGCATTATATTACTGAAAGGTAAATTCTGCATGCACACATGAGGACCCATTTCTAAAGCGGATATATGCTAATTGTTTTCAAAGGAAAGGATACAGGGATTGTATGAAAAAAGAAGCATGGGCCAAATCTTAATCCTTACCACAATTTCCAGCACCTTTGAAGAGCATAAAGTCATTGTAGCAGAATCTTTATTATACTATTCTCGAACAGCAAATAATTATTGTAATTGCAATTCCTTAATTAAACATATATTGAATTAGCTGGATAGAAAGTCTGTTTATTCATATTAATGACACAAGACCCCTCCTCAAGAATATAGTTTTCTTCAGTTCTCAAGAAAGAAAGAAAGAAAGAAAGAAAGAAAGAAAGGAGACAGACATTTTAAAAAATGAATGCAGAAATAATTAAAAACTACATAAAACAACTACATTTAAATCAAGAGTCATCAGTTTTAACAGCCTTGAAGTAAAGACGTATTCTTTTAATCAGAGCCAATTTATTGATGAAGGAGAAAATATGAGCTAGGAAGTAGAAGAAATGTAGACCATCTGCTCTGTCCAGATGCAACAGAGCATGCTTCTGCCATCTAACGCTATTTTAAAGCAATGAGCAGAGAAAGGTTGGTTAAAACTTTGATCACAGATGGGATTTTAAAAAGTCTTTGGATACCTTTGAACTGCTAATGAAAACTGATTAAGGCACAATTATATATAATAACACATATGCACACAAAGACATTACTGATAACTACAGTACATCCACTTAATTTTAAATGGTATCTTAATGAAATGATACTGCTTAGATGCTTTTGTCCAGCTTCAGGACCAACACATGGGCAGAAAACCCCAGAAGAGTCCAAAAGAATCCTTGAACATTTAGTTAGCTTTCTGTTTAATGAAGCAGGTGAATGAATGCCTTACCTTGAAACTGTGAACCTTCTCATATTTTGGGATGTGCTCATTTTCTTTCAGAGTTGCTCTTCTGACAAGTGATGTCAGCTGCGAATAAGCAAAGAGTTTAAGAGGTTGCCAGATTGTCACAGATGACTTTTGAAAGCCCAGCCGCATTCCCAAGGCTGCCATCAATAAATCTCTTTGACGGCTCTCTTGTTTCGAGTTGTGAACGGCAGATCTATTAGCTTTCTGCCCTGACCAAGACTCTTTGGATGGCATTTTGAAACTGGCAGGAGAGGAGAAGGAAGGAAAAAAACACAACAAAAATGCCCCACAACTTCTGTACTGCTTTCAAACTGAGTTACTGTTGATGCTGTTACTATGGCTCTTTCTTTAAAATGCCAGTTTAGGCATTTTCTTCTCACTTTCAAAGAAAAGGTCTCTAATTTACACACAAAAACTTATTAGTCTGAATATAAGCAACAATCATAGTTAACAAAAGAGAGTCCTGAGTATCTTCGTCCATTTAGAAACTCATGTCCTGTTAAAGAGACAGATTTCTAGATTCTTTTCTCCCTATTCAAATATAGTGCTGATCATTTTGTATAAAAAGATGCTCTCATGCTGCGTGTATTCAGTTTCCAGTTAACAAGCACCCTGCTAACCTCAGTCTAGCAAGAATAGGGAGGAGGGGTGGGCTTTAGCAGGCAGCAATGAATTGGGACTGGTTAGATTAAGAGAGCAGGTAACCAATGAAAAGCCAGCAATTGAATTTAAGTGGTGTGCTACTCAATGCATTCATTCCCCCTCCCTCATAGGAGGCTTTCTTGTTGGATGGAGAGAGAGAGAAAGATCAGCAGCAACATAATGAGCAATGAATGAGTCATGCATCATTGCAAAATGGCATCTCTACCATTTAAAAACTGAGGAGACTGCAATATATTGTCAGGTGTTAAAACTGAAGCGCAAACAGGAAAGGATGATTTAGATGAACATTAATTTCACTGTTCATGGCATATGTGGAGTTGTTTCCCCCCTCCCGATTTTTAACAATTGTTCCATAATGCAAGATGCCTTCTTTTTTCACTCGTCAGGCCATGCTATTCTGAAAGGATTTCACAGAAACTCTCTTTTATATTGCCATTTTACATCTTGTACAATAATCCCCACTGTAGTGAAATGAATGGGAGAAGAAGATATAATTCTGCCAATTTGTGAGGTCTGCTTCTTAGAGCCAGCCTGCCCACATCAACCACTACACACGTCAACAGGCAATATTTTTCTGCAATTCCCTGGACTTAGCCATAACTCTAAATTCATGGTTCCTATCATGAACTTCCGTCCAAGCTGCAGTACTGTTCTCAAAGGGAATCAGGAGAAAAGCACAGATGTGTTCAAAGCTTATTTTCTCCAAGTTGACCTTGAAATACATGAGTGGCAATCCCTTGCTTTGCATTCAAGGAAATTAAATGAAAAGACTTTTGAATGGATGAGCTAAAGATTTATTAACAATTAGCCGTCCCCTGCCACGCGTTGCTATGGCTCAGTCTGTGTACATGTGTTTTGTGTGTGTATATATTTGTGTATATGTGTGTTTGCATATATATATGTGTGGTTTTGTGCATGCGCTGTAATGTAATTTTTGGGTTTTGGCTTTTTAAGTCCCTTCCACTGTGTTTTTCAGTGTTTTTATGAGTGATGGTCACTCCTTGGCCTGATAGGTGTATTGTGTTCAAATTTGGTGTCAGCTCGTTCAGTGGTTTTTGAGTTATGTTAATCCCACAAACGAACATTACATTTTTATTTATATAGATTGAAGCCAAACAGCTTTAGGTCTCCTTGATTTCAGATGCTATTAGAAATTGTTCCTGTTGTTTGATGTGGTTTTTCATTTTCACAAAAATCACCAAAGCAAATTACAACAAATTGCATCAATTTGAAAGATAATAATGATGATGATGATGATGATGATGATGATGATGATGATGATGATGAAATAACTACTTCTCAGGAAGATGTAGTTTAAAATACTGGCAGTCTGGAAAACCCACTAGTAAAGGTAAAGGTTTCCCCTTGACATTAAGTCTAATTGTGTCCGACTCTAGGGTTGGTGCTCATCTCCATTTCTAAGCCGAAGAGCTGGCATTGTCTGTAGACACCCCCAAGGTCATGTGGCTGGCATTTTTGCATGGAGCGCCATTATCTTCCCGCCGGAGTGGTACCTATCAATCTACTCACATGTGCATGTTTTCAAACTACTAGATTGGCAGAAGCTCAGGCTAACACTGGGAGCTCCCCCTGCTCCCCCGATTTCGGTCAGCAAGTTCAGCAGCTCAGTGGTTTAATTATGCCACTGGGGGCTCCTCCACTAGTAAACAAATAGGTTTTATTTAATCTGCCAGCAGAAGTACTTCCACACTGGAAGTATATCTAATCAAACAAGACTGATGATTTTAGCCAAAGTGCAAAATGTGTGACCAGATGCTAGATTACAATTTCCATCTGCATCAGCCAACACATATCAGACTGAGGGATATTGGGAGTTGTAGTTCAGGTTCATCTCACACATCACAGGCTGTCCAGCCTTCTATTACATAGCGAGAGGAAGTCACATTGGAGAATGCCCCTGGATAGTGCTGGTACTTTCCCTTCTCTGCAGTGTGACCCTCAATTTATTCACGGGTCATAACAAAATACATAATTTTGGATCCAAAATATGCCCTCGACTTATACATGAGGCTGAGTTATATACGAATATATGTGGTAACTTTTTTGTTCTCCCTTGCAGGAAGGAATAATTGAACACAGAACATTCCTATCCTGTACTCCATTGTTGCACTTTGCATTTGGAGCTGCAGGTTCCAAATCAATCTCAAGTGTTGCTCCACATAAAGTGTGTGTTAAGCTGGTGATTCTCAAAAGTCTGGTCCTTAAAGTATTTTGGATTCCACATTCCCAATCAGTGTGACTAATGCTCAGGAATTCTGGGAGTTGTAATCTCTGAGGACCCTGTGCTTGAGAACCACAGCAATAAGTAAGCTTAAGTGGCTCACATATATCAGCTGTGATCTAGAAAGCAAATGTTTCATTTATAATAGGGAAAGCTGCATTATGTACAAAGGTGTGTGTGTGTGTGCATGCCAGAGCTTGGAAAGTAAATTTTAGAAATAATTGGTGCCACTCAGTAAAATGCCTTAAAATTGATCCATTTCTGTTTTTTACTAACAGGATGAAAAGGGTTAACTTATGTTAGGTATTGCATTGCTTGTTATTCTTCCATTACTTTGTACTTTTTCACAGAAAAAGCACTGTTCTACATAAAGGGTCTTAAAATATTTTGAGAATAACTAAACATTGTTCCTCACTATACCAACAAATTAACATTTTAACATTGATTTGAAAATGCACCTTTGTTTTACCCATGGTACTCTGCTGCCCCCTACAAAACCCTGATGACTAGTAAAGGTGTCAGTTATTAACTTATTACTTCCAAGCTTGTGGTCATGATTGTGCCTCCTGTTCCTTGTCCTCCAATCTACACGTAAGGCCTACGTTAATTTACTCCAGCACCTGAAAGCTCTGAACCTTTAAATATGTGTCTCCTTTTCAAAGCCTACAGATGGTGTGGTGATTTTGGTGCAAAGGATACAGTTAACAGCCTGGAAAGATTGGGGGAAACAGGTGCGATTACAACTTCCCCTCCACACATACATTTCCACCCATCTTGGCTATACGCCCATAGCTTTTATAAAACTGCACTGACCCTCAAGGAAAATAAAATATTTTCCCATTCAATTACCAGGAGAAATAAACAATCTACTAAATTCATGCTAACATAATTAGACTGTACCTTCTGAGGTCCTTGAAATACCATTAATAATTGCAAGCATCAATATAAATTATTTTGATATTATCCTTTCCTCCCCACGGTAAGCAGTATGTTTATATTTTTATGTGTTTGTTTCTTAGTTTCCAATTGGATTTGTTCATCTATTCCTGAAAACCTGGTTTATTTTCAATTATACGTTTGGGCTATATTAGCAGAATAGGATTTCTGAATCCTGAAACTTTAATTTAGAGAATGCCAATAAAAAGCTGAACCAAAACTGCCTGACAGGGAAAGGTCACCCATTTATGGCTGCAATTATGAAAAGGGGATTTTAATCTGAAAAGGTAGTTTTAAGTTAATGACTTTCCATTCTCATGCAATTCATTTACAGTAATATATGAAATATTGGTCACAAGGCTTACACGAATTTGTGCCACCTTGATCAACTTGTTGACTTCAGAAATAGGTTTAAAGGCAAGTTATCTTATTCGGGCTAAGAAAAAAAAAACCCCTAATTATTTAAAACAGTAGTTTATCTTATTTAAGACAGAGGTGTGCGACTGCTGAAGACCACTGAGGGTTGTACTTACCACCCTTTCATTTTTTTGGTACCCAACAACCCTCTTTGGGATATGGGGGCATGATTTTGATGCCTTCCTGGGCTCCTACTAGGCACTTTGGGATAATTTGTTTTGACTCCTGTTTTGCACTTCTACATCAAGCATGTGGAAATAATAGAGATAATATTTGAGTATTTTGAAACATTTTTAATCCCTTGGAAGCCCCTGGGGGCTGCACTTTTCCCTTCTTGATTTAGGAAAATTGTAAACTCATCACAATGGTTACATTAGAATCAGATTAGAATTCTCCTCCTTTTCCAGAGAAAGTCTTTAGCTATGCATTTAGTGAGAGTATTTCTATGTATAGTTGTAAAAATTGCACAGTGCAGAAAGAAGAAAGATGGTAGTAAGAATATAAGCTTATTTGAAATGTGGTGCTAGAAGAAAGTTCTACACATACCATGGACTGCTAAAAAGACATGCCAATTGGTTCCAGAGCAAATTAATAATAATAATAATAATAATAATAATAATAATAATAATAAGAAGAAGAAGAAGAAGAAGAAGAAGAAGAAGAAATATCAGCAAATGGATAACAACTGGGAAGACATATTTGATACAGAAAGATCCAGCAAAAGGGATAATACCAGGAAACTACAGACCAATAACATGTCTACCTACAATGTTCAAACTGCTGACAGGCATAATAGCTGATCAAATCAAGGATTACTTGGAGGAAACTAACATCTTGCCAGTAGAACAAAAAGGCAATAAATGAAGAAGTAGGGGCACGAAAGATCAGGTTCTGATTGACAAAATAATACTGGAGAATTGCAAAAGCCACAAAACAAACCTCTATACAACTTGGACTGATTACAAAAAAGCATTTGACTCACTGCCACATTGTTAGATCATCAAATGTCTAGATGTCATTGGGGTTTGTGAAAATATTAGAAAGTTCACTGAAAATGCAATGAAACAATAGAAAACTGAGTTGTTTGTGGGCAATGAAAGCTATGGAATTGTTAATATCAAGAGAGGAATTTTCCAGGGTGACTCACTGTCACCACTGTTGTTCATCATTGCAATGATCCCACTGTCAGTAATTCTACAGAAAACAAACCCGGGCTACCAAACAGCAATCCCAGGCGACAGCAGGATTGAAGAGAAACAACTGGAAAAGCTGACATGATATGAGAATTTAAAAATCAAACTGCAAAGACTCTGGCACAAGCCAGTCAAGGCGGTCCCAGTGGTGATCGGCACACTGGGTGCAGTGCCTAAAGACCTTGGCCTGCACTTAACACAATCGGCAACTCAATCGGCGCTTACCATCTGTCATCTGCAAAAGGCTGCCCTACTTGGATCTGCACGCCTTATTCGCCGATACATCACACAGTCCTAGACACTTGGGAAGTGTCCGACGTGTGATCCAATTCAACAGCCAGCATAGTGACCTTGTTTGCTGTGTACTAATCTTGTTGTGTTTCTAATAATAATAATAATAATAATAATAATAATAATAATAATAATAATAACAACAACAACAACAACAACAGTAATACTTTATTTGTATTCCACTCTATCTCCTCAGGGGGACTCAATCAAGCCTTAACTCTTCCTAGAAACTTAGATGACTAAACTGAGGCTATTTTACTTTGAACACCTCATGAAAAGAAATTACTAATTAGAAAAAAATAATAATGCTTGGTCAGGTAGCTGGCAGCAGGAAAAGAGGAAGGAAGCATTCCAGGTGGATAGACTCAATTGAGGAAGCCACAGTCCTGACTCTACAAGACCTGAGCAGAGTGTTTGATGGGTGTGTTGCTTGGAGGTCTCTTATTCATAGGGTCACCATAAGTAGAAGCTGACTTGATGGAAATTCACAACAAATTCTCTTGACAAAATACTGCTTATGCTAGTTGTGAAAGGTAAGAAAATATTCGTTATGCTTCCTTCTACTTATAACAAGTATTTCCTTTTGAAAATATAGAGTTCAGAACATTCCAGAAAAATACTGAGAGCAATGTTAGATCTGGAGGGGAAACGGATCTGCTGTGTTGGATTAAAAGAGCTCTGTGGATGGAAGGAGCACTTCCATTTACAGCAGGTAGAGTATAGATCAATTCCTATGCTATTTTATATATATTCCCATACTGCTGAATGGCCTATGGACAAGTAGCTCATATCAGAACAAGACAAGTAGGTTATATGAATGTGTCAGTTCCTTTACAAGTGTTCTCTTCTTCCTCTGCATGAGTTCTGCTCCTGAGGCAGCTTTTTGGTGCTCACTAGTTCCCATCACGACAGTGTACTTATAAGCTGTCTTAAAGATAGCCAGGAAAGAATTAGATGTATACTAGATGTGTGAGGATAAGCTACAAAACAAGGGATGAACGTAAAATAAAATGATGAGGGGATGTTCATCAAATTGGCATGTGACATCAAACTGAGAGGAATAGGACAGAATCAGGACTTAAGAAGATGGGGCCAATACTCAGAAAACAAATGTCAAGAGACATACATGTATAATTTTTATATCTCTAGAATCACAGAATTGCAGTTGAAAGGGACCCAACTAATTTGACATCCTGTTACTGGCTCATACTTAAATTTGAGGGTCTTACATTTAGGTAGGAGAGATCAGCTACAGAAACAAGATGGATGACACCTGTTTTCCCAGTAGCATGTTATGAAAGGATCCTAGGGGTCTCGGGTGGCCATGGCTGAGAGCAATTTTAGGTTCCAGAAAAGAAGTGTAATGTCTAGGTCGTGGGAACTAATGTGAATGCATGCCTGCAGTTGCTAGTATACTTATGCTGACCAAATGAAATATATATATATATATATATATATATATATATATATATAGAGGCAAGGAATACTAAAAGATGGGTTTGCCCATTCCCGCCTCTGAAATATAACCTATAGCATCCATGTACTAATCCATGTACTAATCAAGGCTAACCCTGCTTTGCTTCCACGACCAGGTGGTATTTGGTGCCTTTAAGCCTATTCAGACCAGTTAAAGGAATTAATATTACGAACACAACTTCATTCTGTTTTGATCAGATCTCATCTGTAGTATTGTGTTCAGGACACCACACTTTAAGCAGTATACTGATCAACTGGAATATATCTACAAGATGGTGACCGACAATGCAAATGGATCTGGAAATTAAGTCATGAAGGCTGGTATGATTAGACTGGGGAAGAGACGACTGAAAGGCAATACGATACCTCATATAAAAGAGGGTGCAAAGAAGAACTGAACCAATGGTTGCAAATCACAAGAAAGGACATTCTGACTGAACACTTGGTACAGATCTAATCATTGGTTTATCACGTACTATGCCAAGCAATTTGGCAGATGCCTAGTAGGCAATGCATTATTCCTTGGTGTGAGAATAGTATCTCCCTAGTCATAATTTTTCAGTATTTCCACAGGCCACTGAATGAACTTTGAGCTTAACTAGATTCTCATGGATGTGTAAGTCCAAAATCTTATCTGACATATTCATTTGCAGCAATTCAATTCATGTAGCTGATTCAGCTCTGGGGCAGCTGGGTGTATTTTGCTACTACAAACATCATTTGTTACAGATTTAACTACATGTATGGTTTCCTCACTAGATATTCAGAAACAGCGAATGAAATCTGCAGACTAGCCAAAGTATTTCAAGGTGTCCATTCACCATTCACTGACTGATATTTCTGCCAAAACAAGTTAACACTTTGTCTCTTGGAAAATAATTAAAAACCACAAAAATAAATTGATGAAATATTAACTTGTCCTCTCCTCATCCTACAATGAAATGACTTAGCCTAAACAACAGGTACCCCTATGAAATGATGTTTGAACTTGGTATATATAAACCAACATTGTAAAGAAATTGTGTTTTCTGTCTAATCCATTCATTTCATAAACTGCAAGAGGCCAGTGTGATAGCATGGAAAGTTCATTTCAAAAGGCATACCATAACTCTCAACAATGTCAGACCTGATTTACACTTTAAATTGGCTTTCACATGATCCTCTCTATTTCATGGGTATAGGAAGTGATTCAAAATACTGTTATGTTTAAGTAGATATAACCTATTGGTGAAATGTTGGCTGTACAGGGTGACGTTCATATCTGCAGAGGATACGTTTCTGAAATTATTTTCTGCTAAATATATACTTGTTTCCATGGCTTTTAAATTAGCCTCTTTGTATTAAGGTATTTTAATATGCTTTCTCTGTGGGGATACTAGAAGGTGGCATGTCTGGACAAACTACCTAACTTTTTGGTTTGTGCTACAGTCACAAAGGAGAATCAAATATATGAGGTTTATAAATACTTGAGAAATTGGAGCATGGGAAAGATAGTGCTGATTTTGGCAGAGGTAACATGCTGTCAAGTATCCAGGGTCCAGACTACGCACATTTATTCAAAAGTGTGGGTCTCATGGACTTCAAAGATGGTCTTTCATCAAATATAGAAAGACTGAAAGTGGAATCTTTCACTGGTGGCAGTGACTACTGAACCACTAATATTGACATAAAAGTTCTTCAGCACAAGAAGTTGCTTTCTGGCAGAAGATGCACAGCAAAGACTTGTCATACAGAATCAGTCGGCTCTCCACATCTGCAGTTTTGACTTTTGCAGATTTGATTATTCGATGATTTTATTGATATGGCCTCTCTAGGAATCTTCAGGTCCTCTACTGGAACTTTATGGTCAACTTCTGGCAGATGCTGACCACAGAATCTCATGGAGGACCTAGAAATTCCCAGAGAGGTTTGGGAATCTCTTAGGTAAAACAAATAGCATTTTCTCCACTTTCATGGGGGCCCTATAACCCAAACCTCAAAGAATGTGGAGGGCAGACTCTATATGTGTAGGCATTCTGTTTTAAATTAAAGTGTAGAAGACTGGACAAATCAGTGTCCATATTGACCCATTCAAGACTACAATGATAAAAATGAACTCTTGTTAAAATAAAACATGGAACAGAATGTACAACTGGAAAACTGCTGTTGGAGACTTATTCTGAAAAGCATTACTGATCAAGTGTGATCCATCTGAATAAGAAAAAAATTAAATACACACAGAACTAATCAGACCTGTTACTTTCAAATAACAGATATAGTCATTTCAACTATAATTGTGATTAATTTTGTCATATAAAATATAGCATAATAGAACTGTAGCAAAACTTTATACTATGACTGAAATGTTAAAAGCTCAGGAAGAACTGAAACAGAAAACAACCACTTTTAACTTGATAAACAGTCCTTCCTACATATATTAATTGCTACACAATTATTCCAACTCTGATTTTTTTATGTCTTAAAGTAGTCAAATTTTATCAAGGTAACTTACTCTTTTTTCTACCGTGTCATTGTCTCCTGTAGACTCTTTGCCATCAAACATATCTCTTACAGCCACTGCATGCTTCTTATTTGTTGGCTCTCTGCTTAAAGTTGTATATCCTATGTGTTCATAAATTGGATTTATGGTCATCTTGGCAATGTATTCTGCTGCCTTGGTTTCAATATAAAGGGTGATCAATCCATCTGTCACCAGATCGTGGATGGACTCGAAACGTTTTTCGCCGACAAAGTGTTTTCCATCATAGTACAGCCTGAAGTTTCTGGTCTGGTTTCCAAATCTGCCACAATAGAACAGAAAAATACTTGTTTAGTTCAGCGAGATAACTTTGCACACAGTAAAGAGTCTAAGGTGCTATAATATTCTGAGCATGGTCTGGCTGAGGAATAGAAAATGCTTGCTCTTTGGCTATGAATCCCAGCTTCAGTTACTACACACAAAACAGGACACCAGGAAGAAAGAAAAAAAATAAGCAAAAAGGCAACCCTGGAAGAAAAGCCAAAGATGTGCTTGGCCTTGAAAGACATGATTTGTCCTCCAGTTACTTAATTATCTTGCAGACAAGCAAAAATATACTTTTAAAGAAGTTCTATGCTGTGTTGCTTTTTCATGAAGGAGAAACTGTTCATTATAGAGGATTCTCTGTTGCAGAATATCAGCACAAATATCTGATGCAGTTCTGTACACCCTGTAGGAAAAGATCATTCAGTGTATAGTTGTCCTTAAGTGCCAATAATGACACTGGGTGGAACTATTGCCAGAACGCAGGGATGTAGGGCAGAATATCACAAGAACAAGCATTCTTCATTTGTGGCCAAGACCATGGACTTACTCTTCCAGCTTTGTATAAAAGCTGCCTTGTGCTCAGCTTATTTAAGTCTGCAGTTCAAGGAAATCTTTGTAACATTAGAACTGGATATGTTAGAATTGGTAGTTGATTTTGCAATCGGAGTTGGAATCTACAGTTTCCCATTAGAAGAAGCTGCATTTTGCATTATGTGAAATATCCCATTTAAGGAATGGAATCTTATGATGATTGTAATACATTTTAGGGGGTCTGATGTCATTGGTGATTGTGCATAGTGTTTTGGGCTTCAGTGCAAACAATTTCTTGTTCCTCACCTCTGAGGATGCTTGCCATAGATGCAGGCGAAACATCAGGAGAAATGCCTCTAGAACATGGCCATATAGCCCGAAAAACCCCACAAGAACTGAGTGATTCCAGCCATGAAAGCCTTCGACAATACAATTTCTTGTTCCTTCACTTCCCCTACTGTCAACCTTTTGCTGAAGCACCAGTTATACTGGTCTAGCAATAGCAATGCCAGTAGGATTTGGAAAGTCCTGATTTGGAGGATTCATTGATGACATTTTCAATAATCCACATAAAATACAAGAGGGGTTGTTTAGTTCACTACTTCTTAAAACTGTGGGTCCTGATTCCAAATAGGATCCCCTTAGCTCAATGTTGGGGTCCCAAAATTTTGGCAACTACTGACTATTTTAGACATTTACATGACTCTGTTAGCAAGAACACGCAGTGTTTATAACGGACTCTGCAGAAAATGCTTCAACTGTACTTCATAAATAGGAAAATCAGTTTGTTTAGCAAATCTAACATCTAAAATATGTTCACAATCTAGCATTGGAGCATTTGGCTGAAATAATTTTATGGGAATGCAAAATTTTAGGCAATGGTTCACATGTTTACATTCTTCACAATAAAAAACCCATTTTCTCCTTGATTAGAAAGGTATAGTGATTAAACATTAATAACATTCATTTCAAAAGACTACACAATTGTTTCCAATAGCTGTCTCAACACTTAAACCCAAAGAAATCTTACCAATCAATGGATAATAGAGAACTAAATAAACCTTGTAATATGATATTGACTACATAATCTACTCTTCTCAGAATCTAGTAAGCATGTATCTTTCATCTTCCATGATCTTAAAAGACTTTACATAAGCTAGGACATTAACACAGTCAAAGTGTTGGGAGGCATTTGCATGGGCATATTTCCAGGAATTTGTTCTAGCTTGTGCTTTCCAAGTTTCGTTCTGCACTTCTGATTAATTCTCCAATCCTGGTCACTGTAAGACATTGCTCACACTCTGTGACACACTGCTTACTCAAATAAAATAAGGAACCCACTATTACTATTTCAAAGTCTAGTGAAACACATTAGAGATAGCATTCTGGAATGGCTACTTTAGAGAAATCTTGACTGAAGGATGGATTACAATACCCCTAGGAATCCAATTATTTGTTACTATCAACAGAAGTATGCATGAATTTGAAGTTGCTGCATGCACAGAGGCTGGGAGTTATGAAGAAGAGGAGGGAATAATAACAGGCTATTATATAAATATACTGTGTTGTTGTTATCACGTATCTTCAAAAAGGCTAGTGCATGGTGATCCTGGCAAGAATAATTTTGTGAGGATTTCACATTGTTCTCCACCAAAGTGAGGAGATTGTTACTTGTTCTCAGTCACCCAGTACATTTCCATGCCGACTTGGAGATTTGAATCTGGACTTTCCAGTCCTAGCCCAGCATTTAAAGTACTAAACCAAACTGGCACACTAAAAAGCAGACAGTGAACAAATAGTAATAATAAACAGTACAGAGCAAGGACTATGAGTTAGATGAAAGGCCAGGTAGTATCTAGAATTGGCTGTGACATGGTACAGTGATCTTCATATTGTCACAGTTAGAAATATTAACACTTATATTGCTTTCAGATTTTTAAAGCATAAAATAAAAAGCCGAAGTTAATTAGGCGTTCTCATCTTGCATAATTGTGCAAATTCCTTCCTCCAACTGTAGTCTTTCTGTATCTCAACTCATGACAGAAGCTCTTTTGTGGGGGTCAAAGAGAGATGAACCCAGGAGGATGAAGTTTTAAAACTCCATCATATGGGGAGATTAACACATGTACAATTTTAGATCCAGCCCAATATGCTGGGACATTTTATAAAATTCATGGAAAGGTTTGCAGAACTGAAGGTCACATCAATCTTCTTGTCTCATTAGATTATTATAATTTCTTATCGCCTATCAACAGAAAAGATAAATTCGCAGACATGCTCCTCAAAGACTGTCACTGCTAAGTACATCAGAAGACTGGCAACAATCCTCAGATGTCAAATCAAAGTTCTGATCAACAAGATGTAAAAGTCAAGGGAGAGAAAATCTACAACCAAATTTAATCAGGATTCTGCACAGAATACAGCTATGAGCGTATATTAGGTTAAGGTTGTCATGAGTTAATCAAAACTGAAGTACACATCAAGGTTGACATGGTATTGCCAACAAATGCAACCTATTCTGTCACCTATTCCCATCCTCTTTACTGTTGTGTTATAACCACACATCTTCCTGCTTCCACTCTTGGTAGCATTTGTTCAGAAGAGGGTTGCCCTTGCCTTACTCTGAGGCCCTTTCTAAACTCCCATTTAATACATATTATCAAAGCAGATAATCCAGATTATCTGCTTTGAACTGGATTATATGAATCTACACTGCCATATAATCCAGTTCAAAGCAGATAATCTGGATTTTATATGGCAGTGTTGAAGTGAGACAATGTGATTTGTCAACATCACCCAGTGAGTTGCTGTTAGCTTTCCAGGCTGTATGGCCATGTTCCAGAATTCATAGCAACCCAGTCATTCTGGCTATGAAAGCCTTCAACAACACATCACCCAGTGGGTTTCTATGAGGAAGCGGGGATTCAAATCCTGGTCTCCAAAGTCATAATCCAATGCTTTAACCCCTGTAATATGTTGGCTTCAGAATTAGAAACCACTAAAGCATTGGTAGTCACTGAAGGTTAATGAAATGTCAGGAGGAAATAGATGCCAGTTAGTGAAATGTCAGCTAAGAAAATTGCCAGTTATATCTGCCAAACACTGGTTTTCTTGAATAAGAAATACCCACTTCTTAACTAGGGGTCCTTGGGCCAACAATGCTACTTGTGAGGATGGGAAGCCTCAAACAGTAAAGCCACAAATATTATTGGGAGAGCATCCTTTCAATTGAACTACCTTTTGAAAGTCTTTTCCTGCTCAAGTTTAATGATAAACCTCAGAAGAATGGCCAATATACATTTGTGGCAAATCTTTATCAAGGTACTGATCCTTGCTGCCAGGCCTGAGCCAGTGAGAATTTGTAGATATTCAAAGCTTGAAAATTAAGCATGCAAAAACATTATTTTCAAATGTTAGTTTCTCATTCTACAATACGACACTATTACCTAAAGCTACCAATTTCCCTCTATTATCTAGGAAAGTACAAATTCTGTTTCCTAGCTGAAATTTTGGTTTTAAGAGAGATGTTGGGAGACTTAATCTTTTACTCCCTTATAGGAGGGAAAAGTGCACTTTTTTTGCTAAAGAGAAAATAAGGATTGAGTACATTTTCCTACCACAAAATGAGTAATAATGGCATAAAGAAAGTTGCAAAGAGTCTTGCATTTGTCCTGATATGTGAGATGAGGGGTCCCCATACTAAGGTCCATGGGCTGGATACAGCCCTCAAAGGTCATTTACCCAGTCCCCACCCTGAACTTTAGACTTAGGGTCACCCTAAGCCTGAAACAAGTTGAAGGCACACAATAGAAATCCTAATGAATGTGACTATCGTCAGCCAAAAGCAAGCCCACACTTCCCATTGAAACATGGCTAAGTTTATGCTGGTTAAAATTGTTCTACATTTAAAATATTGTATTGTTCTTTTTTTGCACTACAATTAAAATGTGTGCAATGTGTATAGGAATGTTCATTTTTTTTCAAACTATAGTCCAGTCCCCCAACAGTCTGAGGAACCATGAACCAACCCTCTGCTTTAAAAGTTTGAGGACCCCTGTGTTAGAGAATACACAGTTGCATCAGTAACTTAGAAAATCATCAGAGCATAGTGTTTCATTATAGTTCATTTTATGGGGGTGGAGGGTGGGTTTGAGGAGTTAAACCATTTTCTCCTGTTTTCCTGTTATTCCCCCTACCCATGTCATCATCGTGGGGGGAAAAAACCCATTTATGATATGGGAAGCAGGGGTGGAGGAAGAGAATAACCAGTGAAAATCACCAACTCCCCTCTATAAAATGGACTATCCTTCTCTGTCCCCTTTTGGAATATTATTTATTTATTTACTGCATTTCTATGGCGCATTTCTAATCCCAAAGGTGACTCAAGTAAACCCAACAGAGATATTTAGACAACTTCTAGATTAGTTTTTTGTTTACTAGTAGTGTTCAGAAAAGAGTAAATTA